AAAGTAAGCAGAAGAAAATAAATGAGCAGAAATCGATGATATCAAATCTGAAAAGAAAGGTTAAAAAAAATCAATGGAATCGGGGCAGCTGGGTGGCTCAGTCAGTTAAACATCCAACTTCGGCTCAGGTCATGATCTCACAGTTCATGAGTTCGAGCCCCACAATGGGCTCTCTGCTGACAGCTTGGAGCCTGGAGGCTGCCTCAGATTCTATGTCTGCCTCTGTCTCTCTGCCCTCCCCTGCTCGTGCTCTGTCTCTCTCTCTCTCAAAAACAAACATTAAAAAAATTTAAAAAAACAAATCAATGGAATCAAAAAATGGTTCTATGAAAAGATCAATAAAATTGATAAACCTCCAATCAGAGTAATCAAAATTAAGAGACAAGGTGCATATTATCACACAATTCTTAGACCACTAAAGAGAAGGAAATACTTCTCAAGTCATTTTATGAGGCCAGCAGACCCTGGTACATAAACCAGAAAGAGGTATTACAAGAAAACAACAGACCAAACTCCCTTATGAACAGAGATGCAAAACTTCTTAAAACATTAGCAAATTAAATTCAACAATATATAACAAAGGACTTTAATTCATTATGGTCAAGTGAAGTTTATGCAAAGAATGGAAAGTTTTACACCTTCAAAATCAATCAACGTAATTCACAATATAAACAGTCTAAAGAAGAAAAAAAAGACATGTTTGTCTCAATGAAGACTGGAAAGGCATTTAAAAAATTCCAGCATCCTATCCTGATAAAAACTCTCTGCACATAGCAATAAAAGGGAATTTCCCCAACCTGATAGATGGCATCTATGAAAGGTTACATGTTTTAACATCAGGACCAATACAACTTATGTCCACTCACTACTTCTACTCAACATTGTTCTGGAACTTCTAGCCAATGCCATAGGCCATAATTAAATGAATGAAAGAATGAATAAATGAATAAATTAATTATTTAATGAATAAATAAATATATAAATGAATGAATAAATAGGAACCAGATTGGAAAGGAACAAGCCTATTTATTTTACAAACTGTCTTCATTTGCAGACATGATCATCTATGTAAAAAAAAAAAAAAAAAAAAAAAAAAAAAAAAAAAAACATGCAAAATCTACCCCCAAAATGTTGCTAGAGTGAGTTTAGTGAGGTTGCAAGATGTAAGATCAAATACAGGAATAAATTATATTTTTACTAGCTATGAAAAATTGGAAATTGAAGTTTCTAAAACAATACTACAGCATCAAAAATATGTAGTCCCTGTGGATAAATCTGACAAAAGATATATATTACCTTTACACTGAAACAAACAATCATTGCTAAGACAAATTAAAGGCCTAAATAAGGGAGAATATAGCTCACGTTCGTAGGTTGATATTAAGATGTCAATTTTCCACAAAACTGTTCTATGGATTCAACATAATCCCAATCAAGATGCCAACAAGCTTTTCTTCTGTAGAAATTTACACTCTCATTCTGAAATTTATATGGGAATGTAAAAGACTTAAAATAGTCAAAACAAAAAAAGAGCTGGAAGACCAATACTTCCAGACTTTAATATTTATTATAAAGCTACAATAATCAACAGTTATTTGTGTAAAAATAGATGAATAGATTGATGAAACAGGAGAACACAGAAGTAGATCAAGATAAATACAGCCAATTCTTTTTCCATAAAGCTGCCAAGGCAATTCAATAAGAATAAAATAATCTTTTCAACAAATGGTGCTGGACCAGCTGGATAGTCGGGGGCAGGGGGTGAGGGGTGGGGAGGGACGGGAAAGAAAGAAAAGAATCTTGACTCTTCACTCACACCATATATAGAAAACTAACTATTCAAAATGGATCATAGGACGCCTGGGTGGCTCAGTTGGTTAAGTGACCAACTCTTGATTTCAGCTCAGATCAGGGTCTCTGGTTAATGGGATCGAGCCCCAAGTCGGGCTCTGTGCTGGCAGTACAGAAACCTGCTTGATATTCTCTCTCCCCTCTCTCTGCCCTTCCCCCATTTGTGCTGTCTCTCAAAATAAACTTAAAAAAATGGATCATAGGCCCAAATATAAGAGCTAAAAGTATAAAACTTTCAAAAGAAAACATAGGAAGTTAGTGACATATAGTTTGGCAATTTCTTAAATACAACATTTAAAAAAAATAATTTATTGTCAAGTTAGCTAACATACAGTGTAAACAGTGTGCTCGGGGCGCCTGGGTGGCGCAGTCGGTTAAGCGCCCGACTTC